ACTGCTTTGTTGTACAATTAAATGATGTCACAACGCATTGCAGTTTGAATTGTTGCAGCCATCTTATACGACACGCCGGTCAAAAGTAAATATAAACAAAAATTAAACTTGAGGAGAGCAATTCTCAGATTACTTATTAAAACAAGTTCAAAATCATGACAAAGCAGCGTTGCTTGGAGAAAAGAGCAAATTAACAGTAGAAGAAGGCAGCTACGGAGAGTGCAGACCTTCACCAAGTAGTTCATTCCCCCCAACATATTCCACCTTACATTAATACCTCTATTTACATAATCTTTCAAAAAAATTCCTGGTTCCTGATGGTGATCCGATCATAACCAAAATGTAATAATTTTCTGCCAGTCACAATTCAGTTCACATTCTCTTTAGTCATTTTGAAAACAGACTAACCAAACATGCAAACAATTAAATTGCTTTAATGCTAAAACAGACATTACAAGGAGTGTTGGCCTAGTGGTTAGAGCAGTGCGCTTGTGCTCTGAGAAGGTTGCAAGTATCCTGTTCGATCCCCACAGCCTGCACTCCAGGTCCCTGAGCAAGACCCTTAACACCACACTGCTCCCCAGGTGCCACACAATGGCAGCCCACTGCTCCCCAAGGGGATGGGCTAAGATGCAGAGAATGAATTTCCCCATTGTTCCCCATTTTTTTTAAATTCATCATGAAATAAAGAGCATTAAAATGATGTCACCAGAATATTTGATAAAGTGATGAATTGCATTCTTGATATCTACCAAATTAAACCTAAACGCAAGCTGCAAACACTCTAACTGATATAACTTTTTTCCTCCTAATGATTTATCACAGTAAAATAGCTTTTTAATGAATGGAACTGCAAGAAGGATCATCAGAGCTCTGCAATGAGAATGACTAAATAATTGGAAAATATGAGAGCTGCTGAATAAAAAAAAAAAGTGTTGGCATTTTGAAACTTAAGTTTGCTTCCTGCTTGAGTTAATTTCTCTGGGTCATTAGTTGTAATTAATCTTGATCTTCTGTCTCTTTCTGTTTCTATTTCGTCAGCATTTCCTTTTTGTCAATACTGTTTATTTGGTAGAAAATTGCCAATACTCCATCTCCAACAAATAGATCCATGGATTGATTCTTGGAGCCCATTAGGATTCCCTCCAGTATAGTTGTTAGGTTGCTGTTGCTTTGCCTTAGTTGTTTATTAAGAAAAAGAAGATTGATCTTAGGGTGGTGCAACACATGTAGCCTATATAGGTGTATTCCTACCCAAATAAGGGAGTCAACAAAAGCTCACACCACAGGTGTTTAGTTGATGTTTGGTTGTTTATGTCTTCTGTTGTAATGCCCTTTATTCTAAATCCAAAATTAACATAGGAGCAGAGGTTTTTCTTTATTTGTTTGTGTTTTCCACAACCTTTGCATCCATATTTTGGCATTGACATAGCAAAGACATAATGAACTAACAAAAATTGTCAGGAAAACCAAAAGTATCTTGTGGTATGTCAGATTTCAACTTTATCAAAGTTTTATAATTCAGTGCAAAAGTTAAATATGCACTGAGAAGCCTCAAATTTGGTCTCTTTGATAAAAGATCCCTTTAATTAATCATGAGTTTTAAAAGACTACATTTTGTAATTAAAAGACAAGCACTGTAAATGATACTTTTTATTCAAAAATATTTACTGAAGCTGTGGTGAGCTAGTCTTTTTTTCCCCTAAAACACAACCATAACACAGCTGTTTTATGTAGGAATGGGAAATTTCTGCAAGAATAAATGATGTCTCTGTCTCCTTTTCATGGAACTGCTTTGCAGAAAAGGTTTTAATTTTGTACAAAGAATTTCTATTTTATGTTTTTTTTGTTTTTTTGTAGGAAGGGCAACAGATAAGTTGCTGAATAAAGGCTTAAACACATTTCACATATAGATGGCTACAAAAAGTTGAAAATGTCTAAGAGCATTGGAAATTTAGTTTCTTTATAGTTTTTATTTTAACATGCTTTTTTTTTTCTTCAATACCCATGATCAACATGGACAGTTTTGTACATTTCTCCATCTTATTGGTACTACTTTTGCAGTAAATATTTACGCTGTTTTTACATATATAGTTTATAAACATTTGGCATCTTTTACTCTTGCCCATCCCTCCTCTTTCAATGCATTCTCGACTCTCCAAACCAGTTTTGTGACATAAATCATGCTTGCAAAATATAACGGAAACTAAATTAATGCTCTCTTTTTTTCTACAGCTTTAAACCTGTTTAAACATGAAAAGCATTCAATCATTTAAGATGTCCCCCCCCTTTAAATGTCAGTAATTTTTTTTTTATTTTTTTTTTCAACAAAATAGTTTGGGAGTTTGGCACTTTTAGATCTTTTTTTTTTTTTTTTTATGGGATTAGGACACGTTGTTGCCAAAAGTTTTATTTTAATATTTCACATAATAACTTTAGGTGTTTTAGATTTTGACCTTAGTTTCCCAAGTTTTCATGTTTGGCGAAAAATTTTCTTTTTTTGTGCATCCCTATCCCTTACCCATTATTTACAACAACAAAAAAAAAAGATAGTTTCTTTGAAAATTATGACTCGGAATATTTAGTTTTAACATTTGTTTATAATTTCTAGATTTCATATTAATGCATTGCATGACTTTTTTTTAGTCATTTTTTTATACTGTTGATGGTTTCAGCAAAAGAGGTATTTTTATTGTAAACTGACTTGTGCTACACTTTAAATGCTGTTATGTACCTATGGGAGTTGTCACTCACAAGTACTCAAAACTGTCATAAAGTGTATCTGCTGGCAGGATATGAGTCACTGAAAGTACATCCCTCTGAGTTTATATGTAGCTGTCTGACACAAGCAAACCATACTGAAATAATTTAAGGAAGAGGCTGAAGGTGAAAGAAAATGAGTTGTGCTGTGGTTGGTTGATACATCCACCAACTCCTACGCTTGTACTTATATTTCCTATATTCTGCAGGCTACTGTGAAAATGGGCTCCATTTGGGTTAGCATTGACTTTTTTCGATGGGTGTTGCATAGTTTATGCAGTCTAGTCATCAGTGGATTAATGTTCTGTACATGTCCTACAGGACTTACTGTTACTGTGCAAACATGGAAATTATCTTACTTCTTAATCCAAGGTTACTTAATTTTTCGGTTCTTTCTATGCTGCAAAGAAATCTGTCGAGGTTTCTCATAATACAGGATTTATAGACATGCACAGATTTTTTTCTGAGGGAGAATTTTCTGAGGGAGAATATATTGCCCCGATACCTGGCTGAGCAGTATTGGCCGATACCATCTTTGTGAAATTGTTGCGTGTGTGTATATATGAAGAACTGCATACTAAATGGATCTAAAATAATTGCCATCATGGCTTTGTCAAGCTGTTCATTTCAGTTGCAAGACAATTCATATTGCTGCATGAATAAAATGAAAAGATGAAAAATACACTGCAGTGGCATAAAGGCAGTAATTAGATATAATAAAAATGAATAATTAAGGAATAAGATTATGATAAAATCGTTGATAATGTAAAGAAGGTTGGACTGTAAATTTATCTAATAATACTTAGAATAGCACAGTCAAAGGCCACTCTAAAATTTAGATTAGTGGAACACAAGAACTAAAAGCTGCTTCTCCATGTTTAGCTCTAGATATGCAGAGAAGGTGTGAAATTAAGCCAGAATGGTCCGTTATTGCGTATCAGAAACTCAAAATGCAAAGCCAAAAGACTGTCGATCACTGATTGGTTAAGCTGGGCATACTGTACACTGTGTGATATTTTAAACTTTTTGCACGCAGTTACAGCTCAAACTGTACGACAAAACCGCAGGGTTTAAAAGTTCACAGCTCACGATGTATGTTCTCACATTGTGCTCCCCGATGCTCTGATGCGATATTAATGACTGGAAACTGAATTTCAGATGTTTGATTTTTCTCACCACCTCACGATTCCTGATCGGGAGGTGGTCGTGAAAGGCTGATAGCCCCTCATTACCCCCTGTATACTACATGACGCACGATCAGGCTGAAAGTCAGCCTGATTGAAATATTGTTGCACGACTGAAGAAACAGCCTGAAAAGGGCAAAAAAAAAATCGTACAGTGCATGCCCGGATTTACGGTGTGGTGTCATAAGTCAGCTTTTTTTTATTTATTTTTTTAACTAAGATTTTCACCTGTTACATACGGTAACTTTATGATTATCTTATTGTGTATACAAGCAGTTTTCTAGCAATAGATAGGATTAGCTGAGCTGAGTTAGCTGTAGTTTTTATCATTTCATTTGAGAATTCATCGCTTGCCTCTCCTGAATGTAGATTTATCTAGCTAAAAAAAAACAAAAAACGCTGCATTTGAAAAAACCTGCATTAACCCGCTGACTTCAGGAGGAAAGCAGCTTTAGAAAGACTTTTTCATGTTTTTAATGTCACCGCCTTGCTGGTATTTGCAGTAGAAATGATGCCACAGTGGGTGCATGCTTGAGCATAACATGAATCACTTCAGAGTCCGGTCTGGCATTATTTTCACTCTTTAATAGTGACAAAGATGCAGAATACACTTTACGCTGTTCTGTTTGTACATATCAGCAGTCCATAATGTCTTTACGTTAATAGACAAATACTGTTCACTTAACCCGTGTTTAACAGTGCAGCTAGCAGCAGAAAGTCTCATCTAACAATGGATTATTGTGCAGCATTTAACACTGCTTATTACTCTGTTTTATTTGACATATACATGGTTTATGGTGTTCCATCTCCCTTATCTTTGGCTCTGCCAGATTCAAGTCAGGAATTTGGACAGCTGTGAAATGTTTTGAAATGTGTTCTAATCGGAGAAAAAAATCTTTGCTTTTATAAAAACATTAATTGTAAGTGCATTAGTTCTAAGTCATCTTTTGATTAATGTATTTTGGTAGTTAAGTACCACTCAGAATGATTGCAAGTGTATTTGGATCAAAATTAATTTGGTTTTGTGCTGAAGTTCTCACCGTTTCTTCCCTGCAGGCTTGACGATGGGTTGCGTCAGGAGTAAAGAGGCCAAAGGCCCGGCGCTGAAATACCAACCTGATAACTCCAATGTGGTGCCAGTCAATCCTCACCTGGGTCACTATGGGCCAGAACCCACAATGATGGGTCACTCACCAGCCATGAAAACACAGAACAGCAGCTACAACAACCATCCAGCTTCCCTCACCCCTTTTGGTGGAGTTTCTTCATCCATGACTCCCTTTGGTGGAGCCTCCACGTCGTTCACCTCGGTGACTGTGAACAACCCGTTCCCGGCCGTGATCACAGGTATGTGTGTAGAATTTGAGATTTCTAAGGAAGCATATGTTGTCCCTCCAAATTTTTCACTGGTCCCTACATGACAGAAACCACCAGTTGTTGAAGACCCCTTTTTTTTTCTTTGATTACCTTTTCCTTCAGTTCTTATTTCATCTTAAACAACTGCTAAACATTTGTTATACAGAGGATGTTAAAACAAGCAGGTACTATGCAAATTAGACATTTGAAATGAGTGACTAAAAGCACAAAGAACAGAAACACAAAGTAGCGTTGAGATATGGGAAGTAATGCGCCAGGCATGGCCTCTCCTGAACTGAGCAAAAAGCAATTCCATGCACAGAATTCATTGACTTCCTTTATGCACATTAAAAGTTAGTATTGTATCAGAAATGAAAATGACTTCTTGTGACTTAAGGATCATTGTAGTGTCTGATGGAAAATGTTATGACATAGAACGTGTTCTTGCATGTAATGTTGATTCAATATCTTTGGAGATTGGTAGTCTGATCAGGTAACGATGACACTCAGCTCCACTGCAGGATTCACTAAACGCTGAATGTTTTCACAAATTTGTAACAATAGCTGTTTTACTTCTTTGATAAGATTTAGAAAGAAGTGCAGTTTATTAGTAGAGCTATTGCAATATTTTAAGGATAAATTAGGTTTTTTTTCCCACTTGTGTACCTGCAACCAGGCTTTGTCTTTTTTTCCCCTAACAAGGGAAAGGGTTTAATCCAGTATTTACAAATAAGTTTTTATATATATATAACTATATATATATATATATATATATATATATATATATATATATATATATATGGATCTATAGATCTATGGATATATGGACCGTCCAGAACATCTGAAATAAAGGATTGCTTCATCAGCAGGCTCCTCCAGTACTTTCTGACATGCTGATGAGGTGCTTCAGCCATTTAAATTACCAATGATCGATCTTGGTTTTGTCAGAGGTAGAGTCGGTCAACATTGCCCTGGGGATTGTTGACCAATAGCTTAACTCGGAGCCTGTTTACATGTCAGTTTTCAATGAAAATGAGGCTTGATTGCATTTCTACTGTTTGTTTGCACTTGTTCTCTCTAACAATGTTACAATTTAAGAACTGGTTCCAGAGTATTATAGTTTAAACACCTCCTGTTTTCTCTTGTAGTGTAGGCAGAAAAAATAGCCCTTTTTGATGGGGAAACCCATCAATAGCTTTAAGTTTGCAAAACATTCAGAGTTAATTAATACTTGAATTAATTTTAGTAACTATAAAGTAAATTTCTGTTTTTAGAACTCTGAAGTTGTGAACTAGTAATATTACCAGAGCATGTTTGTACCCAACAAGATCTTTAATATTTAATATTTGTGTGCACTATTTATATGCACTTCTGGGGGTTATGCATTTTGAGAGATGCCATGGGAACAATCTGAATCCCAGAAGAATAAAAAAAAAAATGAGTCGGAGGCTGTTGTGATTTAAGAGCAGACTTTGAGGCACTGGAAGAGGGAAACTGCAAAAAACAGAAAATATATAGGAATCTCTTGAGGCAGTTTTGTTTAAGCGTAATAAACTCTTGAATTGAAAGATAAAGGTTAAATAAATGTATTTATGTTTTATTTCCCTGTACTTAAACCTGATTTTTTTTGTCATCTGTAGGTGGTGTGACTTTTTTTGTTGCCCTGTATGATTATGAAGCAAGAACATCAGATGATCTCTCATTCCGAAAAGGAGATCGCTTTCAGATTATCAACAACACGTGAGTACATGGATCTGGCAAAAATTGTGGCTGCATGGTTGTGTGTCTCTGTGGTTTCGTATGAGTGGTCTGTATGTTTTGTTAAATGTCTTTTTGGATACAGGTCTGATATCAGGGTTGGGATGTATCCTGGTTGATGGCCTCCATTAATGGGCCATCTGTTCAGTTGCTCTCGTTTTCACACTTATATTTTTCCCTCTCTGGATTCATGAATAATATTTGTGTTATTGGTTAAACAGAAAAAACAATATAAAGTTGAATAACACAAATGTCTAGAGTGTAAAATCTAATTCCTCGGTTAAACAATGCTAATTTATTCAGTTAAACATTGTTTTCAAAATATTTACCACATCTGTTTGCCTTTTTTAATTTAATGTAGAATAAATTTAATGCTTATAAACCCAATCAGCTTTTAAAATGCCACACTGAGTGGATTATTGTAATTTATTTCAAAGAAAAACAATTTTTGCTGTCTCCATATCAGCTGTTCCACTCTAATCTTTTTCCCACGTGTGCACAGCTGAGAAAATGGGCTGAGCTCCAAGTTTGCAACACAAACCTTGCTCTTAATTCACATGGCTCATTCTTTCCTGCCGCTGTCTGGCTCACATGGCTTTTATAGCAATGACAATGCCATCTGCTTTTAGGGAAGAGGTGGGAAGAGGGCAGATTAAACCCTTTTTTCATTTTCTTATTTCAAAATGCCACCAGGCGTACCGTCTCTACATCTCTGCTCGTCTTGACTTAATTTTAAGCCCTCAGATCTTCCTTTGAAAGACTAAAGTGGGTTCAAATCATTTAGAGTTTGATGCTTCTTGATTTGCAGAGTTTTGTTTTTTTAATCAATCTTTATTTTAAAAAAGTTCATTGTTTTTCTTTCCAGCCAAGTGTTTCTTTTCATCACAACTCTATAACAGGCGTCGGCAACCCACAGCTCAAGAGCCGCATTCGGCTCTTTAGCACCCCTCTTGCGGCTCCCTGGAGCTTTTTCAAAAATTAAATGGAAATAGAAGGATTTTTGTTGGTTTTAATATGGTAGGCAGGAGGTCAAACAAACATTCATTGTTTTCAAATGCTATAAAACTTTGTCAAATAAATCTAAACAATAAATGTAAAAATTTCTATCAACGAAGATTTGCATGGTAGCCTGCCGCACACGTTTTAGCACAACGCTGTGTCAGCCAGGTGGCTGTTGTAAACAAACCTGGCGGGTGTGTCTTGGGCCATCGATCCCAAAGGGAAAAAAGGGAAAATAGCTAATGAGAACAGAAGATTCAAATAAGAATTGTTTGCTTTCATTACCAATGCGGAAGGATTGCCTGCACGTTTGCTAATAAAGAGTAATTTGGAAAGGCATTTCCAGAGAAGGCATGTTAAATTTGCAGCTGACCACCAAGTTGGGAGTTAGAAAAAAATGTTTCATTGCTTCTGAATAAATAACAGGAGCTCAAAGATGGATTTAACAAGTGGATTGCTTCTCCAAACTCCACTATTGCTGCTAGTTTTGTTGCAAGCATGGAAAACTGTTCACAGATCAAACTGGTAGCTCTCTCTGATGCAGGTATGAGAACTTTTTTCCATTTTTTTCCCCAAATCCCCTAAATAAAAATAACACCAAAAAAATCAGATTTCTTTTATCATGTTTCTATAAAATCATCAATTCAACAAATCTAATACATTCAAACCATGCAGTGAAGCGGCGAGTGATGAACTCCATGCAGTGAGAGCATTCAGTGCTCCTCTCTGCAAATATTGTACAGCAGAGTAGTCGCATGATGTGACATTTGCGCCAGGATAAAAATTAAATCATGAATGCTTATCATATATTTAAGCCAATGTAGTCCTTTTTTATAGTGGGCTAATACGCTTAAAGCCTGTGTTGCCATACGAGGCTTATATAAGACTTTTACATTTTTGCGGCTCCAGATGGATTTGTTTTTGTTCTTTTGGCCAATATGGCTATTCTAACAGATTTGTTTGCCGACCCCTGCCCTATAACCTAACATTTTTATTAATTGTTTGTCAGAAACATTGACATTTTTTGTTGAGGTTTAAATATTTATTTTCTTCTCTTTATTGTGTCCTTATAATGTTTTTTCACTCACTATGCAAAGTGACCAATTGTCCTGATTCTTGCAGTTGGGTAATATTGAGTAGAAACACGATGCTTTCGCATTATCAGGCAAGATTTGTAAGATGTAAAAACTACAGATTGATTTGGAGAATAAAAAAATGTAAATCACTTTTTATATAAAAAAATGGTTGGGTAGTTTGGAAATTTAGAAAATTTTTGTGTTAATACCTCCAATGCCCTAATTCCACCAACTCCTATTGTCCTGGCTCTACTCTATCCCAGCATTATTTCAAACATTTCTAGTACTAGATTCTGCTGGTGCTGCTGAGGAGTCGGTACAATCGGAGAAGAGTAGGGCTGGTATTGAGGAAGCAATAATGGAAACGTTGGCATGAAAGACGCATGCCTTGCGTCTGTGAAGTTGTTTTAAATCTAAGCTGTTTGCAGAGGTTTACAATGTGAACTATCAATCGAGACTGAAACTCAAGGCCAAGCCCAAACACAATGACTTCTGATGATGAAGCAGCCGACTGACGTGTGAACTGACCTTGCCTTTTGTTATTTTATTGACTGTGTAGTCTTAATGTAAGAGTGGGTGGATTTCTACCTGTTTTGTTTTCATGCTTTTGTTTGTGTGTAATGCGCTTCTTATTAGCAATTTATTTGTGTCCTCAGGGAAGGCGACTGGTGGGAAGCCCGCTCCATCAACACAGGAGAGAATGGTTACATCCCCAGCAATTATGTGGCCCCAGCTGACTCCATACAAGCTGAAGAGTGAGGAGCAAAATTTGTACTTTTTTAAGGTTTTTCATAAAACTTTGACTGTCCTCTGGATTCCTTTTTCTTTTGCTCGTTAGTCTTCTGTTTACGATCTTACCCCCTTCCTGCTGATTAAGGTGAAAATAGAACTGTCTGGCAGAGAGGGAATGAGAAAAACAACATATTGCCTGCTTTCACTGAGCATATGATGCATTCTTATGGTTCAGATCCTCGGCTGTGACGAAGACATTTTTGATCTGACTTCTCTTAAGCACTCTTGACAGTGTTATAATTGATGGATGTTTAAAACACTGGGGAAAAGGCAGCCAATTAACTTCTTACTATGTCTCTTAAAAAAAAATGTGAGCACCTGTTATTGACAGGATGCCGTATCGCCTAGTGAAACAGCTCCGAATGCATTGAAGTGTTTTGACATAGACCAAGCCTTTTTTCAAAGAGGTAAGATTGTTTGGAGCTGGGAGCTTTTTCCTTATTTATACAAACAAACATTTTTGTTTTATATTCAAATATTTATTAGATGAGGTTATAGGCAACATTGCCTGCTGCACATAGACAATTATTCAGGAGAAAACTTAATATTTACTTCCTACCAGCATGTGAGAAGCACAAAAAAACATTCAGATTCTTAAACATGCATAAAGTACATTAACCTTGCCATGCAAGCTGGATTGTCGCAAGATCTGAGTTTTCAGTTTTACAACAAATCCATCTTGAAGAGTCCTGCTAATACGTCTGTGTCCAAACCACCAGCAGGTCTGGCCAATGACATGCCGGCAGTGTTTTTGTAGCGGGACATGTAGGAATGTCGACACTCACAAGGACCTTGCTTGGGCATTACAAACATGGCACGCTGGATACAGCAAACAACTCGGTTTTAGCTAGAACAGCGACAATTTCTCGTTAAAAAAAGGAGCAAAGAGAAGCGCGTGGTGCATTTATAGATCAGAAAGATTTCTGTGCTTTTCTTCCAACACGATTTGGAAAAAGTTTGTTTTATCAACCTATGAAATGTCATGATTCACTGCAACAATCAGCTACCCAATCAGCTCGAAGTATTGCACTAAAAGTCCCTGCTTTTCACGGCAAGACTGAACGGCAGCATCCCAGATTGATAACATATAACTTAACTCAGTTCTACACATATCCTTCTCGCTACTGCCAGGTTAGAAGTAGGCAAGTGGCCAGCATTCAGACTTTGCATCAGAAATGAATTCAGCATTTCTTAGGAATGACATATTATACTTTATATTTAGTTATTTCAAGTATCTGACTTTTCTTTTCTCCTTCCACAGGTGGTACTTTGGTAAACTGAGCCGAAAAGACACTGAGCGTCTCTTATTACTCCCAGGGAATCAGAGAGGCACTTTCTTGGTACGAGAGAGTGAAACAACAAAAGGTAAGGAAGTGCATTTAAAATAAGACGACACAAAGAGGGACCTTTATAGCTGGTCTTTAAGTAAATGTAAACATTTCTTTTTTTTTTTTTTTTAAGGCCTGGAAACATGTTTTTTGTTTAAACAGAGAAGTTTTGTTGCATTCCTTTTTTACAACAGCAGCACAATTTCAAAACCTGTTCCAGGATTTAGAAACATCCCACTCTCCCATCACAGTACAGGAAACACTGAATCATTCTGTTTGAGGATGCACATGAACAGTATGACTGCAATCCTTAGAAATTAAGATACACTCAAAGAGCATCACTGATGCAGACCATTATAGGAAACAAAGTGTTTGTTTAATAATTCAGGGTAATCTGAGGCAACAGTTGAACCTTGTTGTCTGTCCATGTAAATATTTGAATCCCTACCATTATACCATGTTTATTTAGAGGTGCCTTTTAAAGGTGGGAGTCTGTGTGCATGTGAATGTTGCAATTTATATCATATACTGTCTACTAGTGGAACAGTAGGAAATTACCCTTGTAAGCACTTCTACAACTGTGTTGTTCCTGGAGATCATAATTAAAATACCACCAAGTTGACAGAAACTGAAAAGATATTGATTATTTAATTGTTGAATCACTGTCATGTATGGAAGGCCTGGGAAAGGGTGTGGATACTTTCCAGGTTGAAGTCCTAGTTATTTTATCATATGCTGCTTTAAATAGTTTTTTGTTTCTCAATTCCCTTTTTTTAGCCTTTTTAAACAATGGCTTTGCCTAGACGGTGTAGTTATAAAGATTGCTCATTTGAGTCGGCACCACTAAAGGCAGGCTAGTAATGGAAGGCAAGCAGTATGCCAAACTGTAACTACATTTAGTCAAAAACCACTGTACAAAAAAAGGCTGCTGTTGTTAAGCTGACAACATGTGGGGAACCTTTTTGCCATTACATCACATGGTTTTTGTGAGAGTCAACGGTTGCTCTAAAAATATGAGTAAAAACAAGGATAAAATGATAGCATTGTTGATATCTTTGACATCTTATCAATTATTAGCATCTTGTAGCTGACTGCTTGTGTTTCCTCATAAAAGTTGGTCCATTAACATACTAACAAGTTCCAGCATCATAAAGAAAATCAGGTTGAGGTTGGATAATGATCCAAATACTTTTCAACTCAGAACTTAAATTTCCAAGTTAAAGGTATTGTGGAGGATTTTCATTCATTTTTCACTATATAGAGAGGGGACTTTAAAGTGGACTTTATAGCGAACTTAGTTAACTGACTGTTCAGACATATGATCACTACTTTTTCCTCCATTGATCACATATCTCCTCCTTCACTACGAGGTGCCTGAGGTATCTTTGTTATTAGTCGCCGCTGTCGTGTAGCGATAGTGTATGGCAACAGGGGGCCTCTGTGACAGCAAATCCCATAATCCTTTGCGAGTAGAACTCTCCATGCAAAGCATTCCGGGATATATCTGCCTCTTCTGAGGCCTTTCTTCTCTTCTCATACACTTCGTAGACACTTGATAAATACACTCTTACGACCCTCGTCCATTTTCAAAGAACCGCAATGAGAATGGTGAGCTTCAATGACTGTCTGAAACTGTAGCTCACCACAGATATACGCCTGAAAGTGCGCATGCTCAGAAAAACATAGCTTACAGGACGAGCATGTAGGACGGCCTTACGTAAACATATCACCAGAATGATTGACAATTAGGAGGACCACTTATTTAGACTACCCACCCGGGAATAAAAGATCGTCCTTTATACCTTTATGGTTCGGGTACAACAGATTTTATTTCTCAATCATTTAGTCCAGGTCCTGAAGCAGAACCCTCAAACCATCTGCAACCTCATCAGGACCATTGTAGGGAGAACCTCATTTTGACCTGTTCTAAGGACATTATATCAAAGTTGCATCAGCCTTCAGTGTGTTTTTCCACTTAAATTTTGTTTGTGTCTCTAAATCCAGGCCTCTATTACTTAAAAAATGTGATTTTATTTATGTGATTTTGTTGTCAGAACATTCAACTTTGTAGAGAACAAATTATTCAATGAGATGTGTTATTTAAGTGTTCCCTTTAATTTTTTTGAGCAGTGTATGTTTACATAAAGGTGACCAGATTTCTGAAATCAAATCAGGGGACATTTCCAGCTCATAGATAAAAAGAATGATATCTCATCAAAATAGAATTAGGAAACTGGGGACAGTCATTTTCACTTATCCTTTAATATTTAAGCAAAACAAATCTGGTGTAAAAGCCAAGAATATGCCTTCAGCACTCTTAGTATTTCCTAAGATTAATGAAATTAATGAATCAATAATGTCATCAATAATAAACTTGATATGTGTCTCTGTTTGGGGGGTGGGTGAATTCCAAATTCAGCATGTTCCATATCTGGTTAAACGGTCAAATAAAAAAAAAAAGTGATTTTTGCTGTGCTCCACTTGTCTTCTGAATTTCTTTCCCTTTCTTAAAGCCTGAATGAACTCAACACTTAACCTGCTACTTTATGGTGTACAATTTACTTTTTAATTGCGTCTTACTTCTTGCCTTTGCTTGTTTCTTTGCACACTCATCAGAAAAAGACTGGCTTTTTGAGTTCCGGTATTTCCAGATCATTAAGTCGATAAATCTCACTATTATTTTATCCCTTCAGAGTCTGTCACCCTAATGTCATGTATTTTGGTTTTTAAGGTGCCTTCTCGCTATCTTTACGTGACTGGGATGAGGTTAAGGGTGACAACGTCAAACACTACAAGATTCGCAAGTTGGATAGTGGTGGTTATTATATCACTACAAGAGCACAGTTTGAGACACTACAGAAACTGGTGAAGCACTACACAGGTAAGCATCCTAGGGAAGCTTCATCCTCGGGCATAAATTACACTAATATTTGTTAGTAATGAAATAAAGTAGTTTTATTTACTGAATGTTATATCTTATGTTTATTGGCTCTGTTATTGTGACACAATTGTAATTAGGCAATAGGAGGGGTTTCCTGAATAAGAAATTTTGAGAACTTCTGTTTTGTAATTTTTAATAAGGACAAATTTGGGAGCAATGATCTTGACGAGGCAAGGTTTGCCCTTAACTTACCATTGATTCAGTTTATTCAGAATCCCTCCTGCAGGGAAAAACTTTTTTTGAACGCTCAAAGATAAGATCTTGTAAATATGGAGATCAAATATTTTGCTGGAATCTTTGAAGTGTTCAGAGGAAATACAAACAAAAAAAGGTTTGTTGAAAGAGTTACCATGGAAAAGGTCTCCTAAAGGGAAAGGTAACATGATCGAGGTTGATAACATTGCATTCCATATAACACAGTTTCCTGTTTAGTAAACAGGAGCATACAAACTAGGAGACACTATTTACCAGTGATGAGGCGCAGTAGTAAAATTCAATATGATGGACTTTAATTTTTAACCCTGAAATGGAATACAATGCTGTTAATTTCATATCGGGCTCCTCTTTTGAGTAATTAACTGTAAACCTAAATCTAATCAATGCCTGTGAATACCTTGGTGGAACTTCAAAAAGCAATAGATTATTCCTTTTTAGGTGATTAATATTAAAATATGTATTTATTTAAGCCACAAAAAGATAGTGCCTGCATTTTTTCCACTTGTGTTCTACAATTAAACACAGACAGCTTTAGGTCAAAGGTAATGATAATAGTTTTGGAATTTCCTAGTCAGAGCTCGACTTGAGGATCTGTGAAAGGAGCAGAATGGTGCTCATCACCAAAAATAAATCATAACAATTCTGGAAACATTTATTATATATATATATATATATATATATATATATATATATATATATATATATCTCTGTTTAGGGAGGGAATGTTGAACCTTACAGTTTTTGGCTGTGCTGTTTCACAAAGCAGCAAACCTAATTATTACATGAAACAGAATTGATTTCAAAGACCAAATGTGGATTCCGAGCTCTGTACTCCTTTATATCTCCCCAAATGCTTTCTTTAAACTACATAAAGAAAAAGGTTTATATACAGGATTTAATTCCTCCCAACTTAGATACTGAATACAACACTTTGGTTTTCTACATTTTACCCAGATTCACCAGGAAAATTTAGCATGAAACTTAAATGCAGTTTTATCTAATTTAGATATAAGCTGGAATTTCATAATCACCTCATGATTGGTTTGTCATAACTCAAAGCTGCTTTCTTTCAGAACATGCGGACGGTTTGTGCTACAGGCTGACCGTTGTGTGCCCAACAGTGAAGCCACAAACTCAGGGACTTGCTAAAGACGCCTGGGAAATCCCTCGAGATTCCCTCCGACTGGAAGTCAAACTGGGACAAGGCTGCTTCGGGGAAGTCTGGATGGGTAAGGCACATATTGGACTGCAGTCAAGCTCAAGGCTGGATGTCAGAGGTTAATTAGGTAAACTGTGATGCGCCACAGCTTACTCTAAATCTGCTTGGTACTTACTGTAGAGCAAGTGTCTCATGCATTCTCCTAGCATCTGAAGGCGGGTAGAGCAAGAACTGTCAATAACTGTTTTACTTTGCCCAATTAAGTGTTTATACCTTAGTTCATCAGCAATAGCAGAAAATGTCACCTTGTGAATCAATCCTCCCAGTTGACTCTTATGAGGCTGCTTTTTCACAGTGCTTTCCAGTCTTTCTATCCGTTTCAGTTGAGTGTACAGATCCAGAAATATTGCGGCTGTCAGGTTAAATCTTAAGCCTAATAGAATTGAATGTCATCTTTTCTTTCACTGACAGCTGTTTTACTCAATTAATTGCGAAAAGATTCCTCTGTAACTGTCAGTGTTTAGTCAGAAAACCAGGAATGACACTTTCACTTTTGAAATGAGTGTGTATCATAGAATTTTTCCATCTGAGGTCTAGGGTTGTCAAGAAACTAAACTTTTCAACTCGATACCGATACTAAGGAAAATATTCGATACTCGATACCATTTTGGATACCACAAGAATAAAAACTCAAAATTTCAACAGAAATATTTTGATTAATAATTAAAATACAATAAACAATAAGAACAATATTTTGAGGTTGTATGATGTGCACAGTATTAAGCAAACTTGATAAAAAACTTACAAAATTAAAATTAAGTGTTCCTTCCTTTGCTATGCTTTGCACACATAACAATGACACTAGCCAAAC